GGTATTCTGTGTTGTTGTTGGCGGAGCTCTCTGCTATACATCCACCCGATCCGCCATCTTGTTTGTTCTCCGATTTCTGTTTGATTTTTACAAGTGACTGCTGTATGGTAATGAAGGTTTAGTGACCGTCAGAGAGTTAGATCTGTAGTTTCTACCTATTGTTTATAGCTGCTTTCGTGATTCAGTAGCACAGAGAGTTCAGTTACAAAAGAGGTCATATGGCCTGCCAGCGTCAAATATTTCTATCTGGCATTATAAGAAAAAACTTGACCAAGCTGTGTTTTAAAGCACTGAAAGCGTAGGGCTTTGTTTACGTCACCTGCGTGTGTGTTGGCCATCCAGGATCCCATCAGGCATCTCTTCCTTTGGCCTAGAGAGTTCCCTTTAACACACCTAATAATACTGGCGGTAAACTTTGTCCGTTTTTGTTAGTCTACAAAAAGATACTTCTGCTGACTGTAGACTGTTAGGTTGACAAGTTGTCTTTGAGGTTGTTTAATTGTCTTCTAGCATATGAAGTTTTCTGGTGAGTAGTCCGTAGAGTTCTTGAAATTGGTTTGTGATATGGATCAGTGTGTTTTTCCTTATTTGTCTCCAGCTGGTGGTTTGTCGAACCTCTTGGTTGGGTGGGTTTTTATAAGTTTATTCAGGTTTGGCACATTTAGGGTCATTATTTGTTTCACTTTTTTTGAATCCCGTGGTTCAGTGGTAGAATTCTTAGAGCCACCGGTCACTGTCTTTGGAGGCTTTGTGTTGCTCTGAGGCGGAACAGGAACGGACTGCTAGTGTGCTCCTGAAAACCCAGCGGTCAAAGCCCTGTGGGTCCCTGCAGTCCTGTCCTGATGCACATGGGAACTTAGGTGCAGGTGAGAGCTGGTGGCCCCAGGAGTGTGATGATGGGAAAGGTGGAGAGGCAGGAAGTACAAAGAGAACTGATTGATGTCTTGGAAGTAGTTTGGATCCGAGAAGTTGTGGAGGGCTGGTTAACACACAGTTCAAGGTTTCTGGTTTGCAAATGCCAAGTCAAAAATGATTGCTGCTGGGGTACTAGTTCATACACTTCTCTCAGTGATACACTTGCTGATCCAATCAAAGCAGTGATTGAGCCCCAAGGGCATTTGCTAGACAGTTCAATTCAAGGCAGAAAAGTCCATTCAGAAGGTTACAAAGACTGTTTGGTGGATTCTGAAAGGATAGTCCTGATAGACTTCCCAAAGGACACAGGACAATCCACGGGGCTTACTCTGAAAACCTTCCACGCAAATTGCAAACTGCCTTGGTAAGAAAAGGGCTGAGGGAAGGTGCACCGAGCCGTGTTTTTCCATGACAACATGGAAACAGGTTTTTCCATGACAACATCCTCTGCAAGGGTGATGACGACTGTCCTGGAGGAATTTTGTTGGGAAACCTTAACCCACCCACCCTGCAGCCCTGTTCTCCTGCCCCTTCAGACTCCTTTTTTCCACAGACTCACAGAATCTTAAAAATCCCTCAAGCTTGCCAAAACTACTGTTTGGCATGATATAAATCAAGCAGCACAGAATTGCGTGGGGAAGATTAAAGAGGTCTGCCGTCAGCTCTGTGTAGACCTAGGTGGAGGATGTGTGGAGAAACCGTAACTTCTCGTTTTGGTATTTTGTTTAACGACAGTTTCTATGATTTTATAGCATTATTTACTGACTTACCCTTGCATATTCCACAAGAGATGGATTGCGCTTACCCATAACCAGCTCTCCTCCTGCTAATCTCATGCCCTAACTCTTTTACCCCCATGCCCACTTGGTGGGATCCTCACTGCTTCCTGTTACAGCAAACCTTCCTTGCTGGCCCGTGCACACAGCCCATGTTGAGTCCTATACCTTTTTCACATTTCATTTTCAGGTTTTATATTTTACATTCTCATTAAAGAACCCTGTGTTAATAATGGTTTAAGTATTTGGCTGCTAACCACTAGGTCAGCAGTTAGAACCCACCAGCAGCTCGGTGGGGACGGAGACCTGGCAGATGGTTCCTGCAAAGCAGCCCTGCTCGGCCCAAGAGCCTCGCTGCGAGTGGGACCACGCTGGGCCAGCCTGTCGTGTGCAGCGCTAGCCCCTGGTTCCATACCATGTAGCCTTTGAGCTTAGGGGCTTCTGTTATGCCTATAAAAACTGCTAGAGCTCTTAGCAAAGGCTTCTTAATCTGTTCTTTAGAAAATGCTTTTAGAGTTGCGTAAAAAAAACTACCAGGAAATAACTGAAAATAGATTTGTCATAAAAATCATTTATATATCTGTTCTTATCATACACCTCTTCATATTTACCAAATAATACCATAAATGTGTAAGGCAGTCATTCCTTGTAAGCCTTTTAGCAGCACATTGTACAGTTCTGAGTAAACTTTCTATAAAGGACCACGTAGAAAATACTCTAGGTGTCGCAGACCATAAGGGTCTCTGTTGGATATTCTAGTTCACATAAGACCTGGCTAGCTGAACCTCTGCTCTGAACAGTGAATCCTCCTATTCTTATTTAATATGTGTTTCTTCTTTACCTCTGTTAGTACAAAAGTGTATTTGCTCTTAGGAGGTTTCATTTCTTAAAACTCTTTCACCGACAGTGCAATCCTAAAGAAATTACACCTGAATTACTGGCACAGAAGCAGGCTCCCACGTATGTGCCTTTGACCTGGCGCTGTGACAAAGGCAGTGTCTCTTCTGAGGCATTTTAAAGTAGAATCCTTATCTTTTAACAATATAGTTCTGCCTTCTGTTAGAGATATATTACAAAATATTTATATATGAATGTCCTTTACTTTCAAATGCTCCAGTGAGGGTTCAGGAACCATTTGAAGGATTAGAGTAAATATTTTAGGCTTGCAGCAGCCCATAATGTGTCCGTTATAAGTCGTCAGCTCCGCCACTGTATCACTAAAGCTGCCATAGATAGCGTGTGAGTGACTAGATGTGGCTGTGTCCCAGAAGTAAGACCAGGGTGGGTTGTGGGCCATGTTCTGGCAGCTCTTGGTTGAAGTGAAGTCACAGTTGGATGTGTTGGGTGATGGGTAACGTCAGTGTAACTGCTAGTGTCGTTACTGTCAGATGTTTACCTGGGCCATGGTGAAAAGCTAAAAGGAAAGCCTCACTATGTGTCCGTGTAAGCCTACTGAGAGAAGACTCGCATTAGTATATTGACACTTGTTTATAACCATTGTGTTGTCTCTTTCTGTTGGAATTGTCCCTCACGTCAGCTTCTCTGCAGTCCTCAGTGCAGCGATATGAAGAAAACAACACCAAGATCAAGCAGTTGCTCGTGAAAACTAAAAAGGAACTGACGGATTCAAAGCAGGCAGTATGTTCATTTCTCAGTTTTCAATTTCAAACCTTTTCTTGGTATATTTTTGAATAGCTCGTTGGTAAATTTGTTTGTTGATTTTTATTCTTAACCAAGACTCTTCTTCTATAGGAAACCAGTCACTTAGTACTTCAAGAATCTCTGAAGAGTGAGTTAGAGGCAAGCCAACAAGAAGTTGAAGTATATAAAGTAAGGCTCTTTTAACATTTTAGACATTGGTTTAGAGAACTTTTCCTAAATATTCTATCAGATAAGATGCCTCAACATTTTTAGGAATTAGAAGCAGTAAATCAGGTGTGGCATCTAACTGTGTAGCTGGTTATTTTCATGTAATTGAAAGTGTATGATACAGTAAGGATATAGCAAAATAAACACGACTCCAAGCCTGCATCCGAACTCGGAATGATATTCTAGTCACAGAAACTGGTTCAGGAAATAGCCTTTCAAAGCACATTAATAAAATGTCTTGTAATGTTTATTTAAACACGGAACTGTAACGTGTAGTCTGGGATCATTTTGCTGATTGATCTTGGTTTATGGAAAAGTAAATGACTGATTTTACTGAGCAAATGTCCGCCTGCTCTTCCTGTCTCAGCTCTTTGAGTAATAGCAGGTAGAAGCAGCCCCCTGTTTACGGTGATTCTGCACAGACTTCGGTCTGCAGCCTCAGGTGTGTGTTTCAGGAAAAGCTGTCACACCGGTGCAGTGCTGACTGCCTCGAGTTTAACTTCGAGATCTTTGCCCTAGATTCAGCTGGCGGAAGTCACATCGGAGAAGCACAAACTTCATGAGCACTTGAAGAGCTCCGCGGAGCAGCACCAGCGCGCACTGACTGCTTACCAGCAGAAAGTCACCACCCTGCAAGAGGAGTGCCAGACCGCCAAGGTATGTATGTGGTCACACCCGTTACCGGCAAGGACTAGGGTCTTACATAAGAATCCTCGGACTCCTGGGCTGGGACTATAGGATCAGCACTGGACTGCGAACCACAGGGTTGGCAGTTCAAACCCACCAACCTGCTGCTCGGAAACCCTATACAGAATCGCTGTCAATTGGAACGGGCTCATTTACACTTAACAATGACAACAAAGAGCACTTACTTAAATGAATACCTCCTTCAGATCAAATGCTTCTAGGCCCAACCCCAACCCCATCGCCAACCCTAACTCCACGTTGGTAACTTTTGTTGGTTCTTTTTGCTGCAAGAGAAAACATGAGCACATGCTGTTTTCCATTTCGAGTTTGTTTTGAAATTTGTGTCAGAAATTTACTCTGCTTGCTTTAAGAAAATTGTGCTTTTCTAGATAATTGTATGCAATCATTACAAATTTACATTCTAATAAAATCACTGTGGGAGGCCTACTTTCTTCAGTATATAAACAATGAGACAGAGTTGTTTTTCTTGAAAGTTCAGCTCTTATCTAATTGGCCTTGGCAGTAAAGTGAAGACCATGACCACGCAGGACTGAGCAGTGTCTCTGTCTGGTGTATATCAAGTCACTATGAGTCGGAGCTGTCTGGATAGCCGTGGCCTGACCTAACTATTTTAAATTCTAAAGTTCAAGCAGTTTTACTTCTTTAAAAATGATTTTGTTGTTGAGAACACACAATTCAGCAGTTTCAACATGTACAATTCAGTGTCCTCCCTTGTCATCTAACTCACTGCCCTCTCAGCGTCTTAGCTAATCCTTTCAAGTTACACTGTTCAGTCTGATCACATGTGGTGTTGCTGTTGTTGTTAGGGACCACTGAGTTGGTACCGAAGCATAGCAACTGCCGTGTGCACCACAACACATAGCAACTGCCATGTGCATCAGAACACAACACATCCTTCCCGGCCCGCAGCACCCTCACAGTTGTGGCGAGGCGGGAGCCCGCAGTGACAGCCACTGGGGCAGCCCATCTCCTTGATGGTCTTCCTCTTTTTCACTGACCCTCGACTCTGTTCAGAGGATCGTGCCCTTTTCCAGGGGCTGGTCTCTGCTGATAACAAAATAGGTGAGACAAAGTCTCACCATCCTGGCTTCCACGGGGCAGGGCTATACCTCTTCCAAGATTAACTTTGCTGACCATCTGGCAGTCCAGGATGCTTTTGGTACTTTTCACCAACACCGTCATTCAGACGCATCGCTGCTTCTCTAGTGTTCTTCAGTCCTTGTCCTGCTTTTGCTGCCTAGTTGGTGACTGAGGAGTCCTCACGATGGCATCTTCCCTCTTTAACCCTTAAAGAACCCTTTTGCAGCAGAGTTGCCCCATGTAATAAAGTGTTTAAATTTTTGACTGCTGCTTCTGTGAGCATTGATTACATATCCAAGTAAAATGAAATACTTAACGACTTCAGTCTCGATCCCCTCTAGGTAGATCTTAAAGAGCATAATGCGCAAGACAGATATTCTTTACTTTTACTCGATGGTGGATGGTGCTGAACAACAGCGGGTTGGTCTTAAGACTTCAGTGGGTATTAAAGTTCAAGATTATCTCTGGGCAGTGGATACAGGGTTCATCCAGCCTCCACGGCCTCAGAAACTCTGGGTTATGGAGACAGCTAGCTACATACACACAAGGGGACTGCAGAAAGTAGTGGGGAAATTCCACTGTCTGGTCATTTGATCTTTCCAAGAACTTGTTTAAGTCTATTCGGATTTTATGTGCTTCTCCTCTTCATAGTTTTCTGCTCCCCATTAACAGAAACCAGTTGGTTTCCCTTTGACGGTGGCTGGCAACCTCTAAAGACCTCAGACACGCCACAACGAACTAGAAGGGAGAACAGAACACTAAATACAGTATTAGCTTAATTAACTAATGAAACATGAAACTATGGCCTTGAAGACCTCCAAACCAAGGGGTCAAGTCCCATGAAGTGCTTGGTTGTATTTGCAAATTTTTTTTCTTGGTCTTGTGTTGTAAATCTGCCATAAAACTTTTACAGCTTCAACTTCTTACAGGTGTGTACACCTCCTTGGCAGTAATTACATTGATCAGGTGTGCCACTCTACCCTGCTGCTGGTGGTGGTTGTGGTGTGCCGTGGAGTCAGTTCCAACCCATAGCGACCCTGTACAGGGTTTCCAAGGCTGTGAATCTTTACGGGAGCAGAGAGCCTCATCTTTCTCCTGCAGAACAGCTGGTAGTTTCAAACTTCTGACCTTGCAGTTTGCAGCCTGATTCGTAACCACTACGCTACCAGAGTTCCTTAGCAGAGCTCCTTACTCCACCCTTAATATACCCAATTTTCCCATCCACCTCAATTGAAACTTACTTCAGAAGTAATAACTACTTTTTCCCCCTCCTCACTGTCCTGGTGTGGCATTAAGGGTTAATGCGCCAGACTGCAAAGTCATTTGAACTGCAAGGTTGGCAGTTCAAGCTCACCAACTGCTCCTCGGAAGCCCTGTACAGGGTCGCTATGGGTCGGAGCCGACTCGATGGCACTTAACAACAACAACTGCTCCTGGTGGCCACTAATCACCTTTGGTGTCTATACATTTCCCTGTTCTTTACCTGGTTATAAAGTGCGGTCCCACAGTATTTGTCCGTGTTGTGATTTGCTGTATTTCACTCAGCATACGGTCTTGCCGTCTACCTGTGCTGTGGTGTGCACCAAGCCCAGTGTCTGTGTGGCCACAGCTTGTCCAGCCTTCGGTTCGGGGTGCCTGGGTGCTTTGTGCCTTCTGGTTATTACGAACATTACAATCCAAGGAGCTGTGGGAGGCTCTGTTTGTAAGACTTGTGTGTTTACTCCTAGATAGAAGGAGACTTGCTGGGCCATATGGTAGTTCTGTTTTTCATTTGTTACTCAATGTCTTTTAATAAACTTTTCTTGCATTTATAAGATAATTTTTCTTGTATTCATTTTTAAAAGAGTAAAGATCTTTCAAAGATAAACAGTACCATTATAGCATCTATGTGTCATAATTTAGTCACCCAGCATTCTGAAGAAAACTCAGTAGAAACATCTTGTCTGAGAAAATCATATTCAAAGTATTTAATTTTTTAAAAAAGGTTTAAGGTCTGTAGTACTTTTTAGTGAAATTAATCAGTAAATTAAAAGGAAGCTCAGTCTTTTTCATTTTCAAAAGCAGATGCTCATCTCGACTCATTAAGGTCTAAAAGAAAATAGTAGTCACGTTCTAGTACGAAATGGAATAGAAAAACTTTTCTCTTTCTTAATTATTATAGGCGGAACAAGCGGCAATAGCGTCTGATTTTGAAAGCTATAAAGTCCGAGTTCATAATGTTCTAAAACAACAGAAAAGTAAATCGGTGTCTCAGGCTGAAACCGAGGGAGCTAAACAAGAAAGGTAAAATCTAAGTTAAGAAACTGGCAGGAGCTTTGTTTGGTTTTAAATACCCATCCCCCAAGGCAAGTCCTTCACAAAGAGGTTAAAAATCCTGCTTGAACTTCCTGTGACTATGAAACAACTTAGCGGTTTCACTGTGTCTCCAGACTAGTGACAAAGAAACTTCACCACGAAGGGCACCGCTACTCAGAAAGCCGTGTTCCAGTGAACGGTGAAACAAGATTAGAGTCTATAAGCTGTGAACAAAATACTTAAATCTTAATTGAATCTATTAAGGGTCTGGGCATTAAAACAAAAGTTACTTTAAAACATTTTACTTATTTCAAAAGGTTTTAGAACCAAATTTTGATCTAAAATTAAATTTTCTTAAAACAAATTTATGAACTTCACAATTGCTTTTTTAAACCTAACATGTAGATCACGCTTATAAATTACTCAAAAAATATGCGGGGGACAAGTTATATAGGGAAGTCTCTGGTGTTCAGAGCAGTCTTACATCTAACTCAGGTGCTGCCAACAGCACTGCGTCTCCTGCATGTGTGTGCTTACTGCCGCAGCTGTGGGTTTGGAACTATTAAATAATGACAATGGCGGCTTCATTGTGAAGCTGGAGAGGATGACTGACAGACACACTTGATGAAAAATATCAGAACTGGCATCATTTTAAGAGTCATTTTACAGCCATAATGCCTGAGTCTTGGGTTCAAGTTATTTGAATTAGAAATCTTTTAAATTCTGTTGTTGTTGTTGTCAGGTGCCATCGAGTTTTAAATTCTACTACTTATAAATTAAGTGCTACCCCCGCCCCCAAGGAATATAATCATGTCTTGTATTAATTGTAATAATTGTATAGTTGTATTTTTACTGTTTGATTTCCAACTATATCTTTATTCTGAATCCAAAAATAACCTCTTGCTTTTCTTCAAAGATTTTAATCTAATGCAGTGTTCCCATGACAAGCATGTGTTTTTGTGTAGTGTTTTTATTATGTAATCTTACAGATTGCAGGAGCTGGTTTCATATTTTGGTCTATTCTGCATATGAAATTCATTAATTTGGAGACATTTTTATAAAAATCTGAAGTGCCTGAAATCTGACTATTGTTTTTGCATTGTATTGAATACTAATCTCGGAAATGCTGTGACTTTGATATGTCCTTTAGATTGATCTATGAAAACAACAGAAATATGACATGGAAAAATTATAAGTTCACCTCTTTCAAAACAGTTTTTTAATGATATGTATCTATTTTAGGGAACACCTGGAAATGCTGATTGACCAATTAAAAATCAAATTACAAGACACTCAGAGTAATTTACAGATGAGTACGTGTGAACTTCAGGCGCTGCAGGGGGAACATGACACTTTGCTGGAAAGACACAACAAGACGCTGCAGGAAACCGTGTCCAAAGAGGCAGAGCTCCGGGAAAGGTGGGCTGTTAGTGGCGTTCACACTGATCGTACCAGGCAGTGAAGTATGCCTTGATTAAAAGTCAGCATGCATCGTTCCATGGCATAAATACAAATTTGAAAATGTTTCTAAATTCTTGGTTTATTCTAACTTAAAGCTCCCCCTAAACAGACTTGTTTTCTGTTTAGCATTCCCAAGAACAGTGTTTATCTGTTCAGCCAGTATTCTGCAACCCCAATAGCCTTCATGGCCAAGGTGCTCCCAGAACACCACAACTGTCATGCCCAGCTGTCAGATCACAAGCATAGTACTCCCTCTAGAGGAAAGCCTTCAAATTGCTGCTGACTGAAAAAGAGTCCGCAACTTACTTTGCAACTCTGTCTTCAACTTGGCCATATTCTTGTACTTTTTGAATCATTATAACATTCTAAATAGGTCTTAGAGATATTGCCAAAATAACCATGATATTATTGTAGATTGGAAATGTGAACTCCTGTAACAAAGAAATTGGGTGGCAGTGTGTTTTATCTTACATTGAGTGAAAGGAGAGTTGTTAATCAAGTCTGTGTCGTCCAGGATGTTAGGGGAAGGTGTATGTCTCAGTTACGCCTCCAGCACATACTTAATCTTACCCTCATTTTACAAGAGAAAGCACTGGGATTTTCTTGGCTTTGTAATCTGTAAATAACACGCTAACACAACGTCCCCTAAAGCCGTTGGACCCTTCTGTAGCACCTACTTCTGTGCCAGCCACGCGCTCTTCTAAGTGCTGGAAATCGTTTATAGCATTTTCAACTATCGCAAGGGCTATTCCTTACCCTCCTTAATCAGAAATCTTGAGATTTCATTGTATTGCTATCTGTGCCCTGTTACGAAGAAATAAACAGACTTTTCTTTATAGACTTTGTGCTGATGAACCATTTTAATATTCACACCTTCTCTTTGAAAGAATGCTGCCTGAGATTATAGAACAGCTCCCAGGGGTGTGAGAGGAGGCTGCTCAGCTCGTCCTTCGCTAACAAACCCCCTGCCCCCCAGCAGGAACTGGAACACAGCACTGAACTCCCATTGCCTCACTTGGGAGACTAGGTTTCAATAGATACATTTAAAAGTAAAGCTGGTGCCTTCTGGAAACTGAAACCCTTGTCCTCGCACTGAATGTTGTAATATTTGTCTCCTTATGGAATTGTACCTGCTGACGGGGCTTCCTATACCAGATTGCTTAGTAGCTATTGTACAGGTTTGAAGAAAAATGCAGATTTCACAGTGTCGCGTGTACATGAATATTATCTAAATTCATTCATTATTGTGAGCTTGGTAATTGAGATAAGTTTTCTACAACATGGTATTTTTGTTGCATGTCTCCTTTTAGCCATAAAGTCTTTTTAAAGGTGTTAGTTATTCATCTGTGTGATGCACTAGAAAAGATCTTGGAGAGATACACCACACGTCTGTTTACCCCAAGGACAGGGATTTTGCGTCAGGGGGCTGGGGTAGAATTTTTGTCTCTAATTGTTACTATTGTTAAGTACCGTCGAGTTGGTTCCGATTCATAGCGACCCTGTGTAGGGTTTCTGAGGAGCGGCTGGTGGCTTGAACCACTGACCTTGTACTTCAAACCGACCTTGCAGTCTGGTGCATTAACCCGCAGTGCAGTGCCTCACCGTACTGCACCACACTGGGACTGTATTATTGGAAATTTGGGGGAATGTACTTGTTGATCCCTTCTGTAAAAAGCAGGGAGGAAAAAAAAGTATTTTGCCCAAACCAAGCATACCACATGAGGATTACAAGTAAACCATTGCCACAGTATGGGTCCACTGTGCAGTGAGCGTCCGGCTGCCTGGGAAACTGCCAAGAGTAGAGATTCCTGAGGTGTGTCAAGAGATCAAGTGGCTCTGGGCTGGCGCTACAAGTCCATGTTTTTAACATAGTACTTTTGATTCGGATACACAGCAAGATTTGGAAATAACTAGCACTTCACTTTAATTGACTTAAAAGTAGTTTCCTTTCAGGCTTTCTTTATGAAGCAGAAGTGTTTCCTATCATAAAGTTGTATGTGCTACCGAAGTTTAGCGCATTAGCTCCCATGCAATGCAGCTAACTACAAGTATGTTCATTTGGTGCTCTAAGTATAGTTCTGTTTTCCTGTAAACCATGAAAGAAGTCTCTCATTGGAACCTTAGATCACAGTTGTCAAGAAAGACTCTTCGTCTCAACTGTTGTTGTTAGGTGCCGACAAGTTCGTTGTGACTTACGCACACAACTGTCCCGGCCTGCACCGGCCTCACAGTCGGGATGATGCTTGAGCCCATTGTCGCTGCCATTGTGCCCGGCCATCTCTCTGAGGGCCTTCCTGTTTTTCACTGACCTGCCCCTTTCCCAAGCATGATGTATCTATGTCTACAGGGATTGGTCCCTCCTGATGTCTGCCCGAAGTATGAGAGACAAAGCCTAGGCATCCTGGCTTCTAAGGAGCCTTCTGACTGTACTTCTTCCAACACAAATTTGTTCTTGTTGTGGTCCATGGTACTTTAACTATTCTTTTCCAGCATCGTAACTCAAATGCATCAGTTCTTCTATGGTCTTCCTTCATCATTGTCCAAATGCATACGAGGCTTTTGAAAGCACTCTGGCTTGGGTCAGATGCACCTTAGTCCTCAAACTGACGTCTTTGTTCTTGAACACTTTACAGAGGTCTGAACTGTGGTGTACAGAAAATCATTTGCACTAGATGTCAGCCAGCGTCCACTCTTCTACTCGACTAGTCCTAACATAGACACCTAGAGGAGAAGTTAGTTTATACCTTACTGTAGACGGGTAGAGGAGAAGTTAGCTTACATGGGCAGCAGATGCCACGAGACCTTAGAGCTGAGTCTGCATACAACATTGCCATCCTACAGAGTAAGTTTCTCTCATCACCAGGTTGTGTTCAATACAATCCGAAAACATGACCATGAAGTCTGAACATGCGGAGACCGTGAGTCAGCTGACGTCGCAGAATGAGGCCCTTCGCCTGGGTTTCCGTGAGCAGATGCGGCAGGTGCAGGAGGAGCACCGCAAGACGACGGAGACGTTGCAGCAGCAACTCGCCAAGGTGGAGGTGCAGCTCTTCCAGCTCAAGAGTGAGCCCACCACCAGAAGTACGTATGGACGCACGGAAGGACAGGACGTTTCAATGAGGTCTCCATACATTCATACTAAGTGGTAACCATTTAAGTCCTAGGCTGTGTTACAATTTGTGTGTAGTTCTTACCCTCTAGGTCAAAGAGGTTTGTTGTTATTGTTAAGTGTTGTCAACCCCATTCCGATTCCTAGTGATCCCGCATAGGGTTTCCGAGGAGCCAGCTGGTTCAAACCTTTGAACCGCCAACCTTGCAGTTCAAACTAACCTTATAGTCCAGTGCTTATCCTACAGCATCATATCAGGACTCAAAAAAAGTGTTTACTTCTAACTTAAACTTGCATCTGTCAGTCTGAAGATGTGTGGCCTAGTCCTATCTTCTAATCCGAAACTTCATCAAGAGCACAGGTGATTCGGGTGCAGCCAGCCAGCACTGAACTTGTGGAACTTCTTGGCTAATGCAGCTGCTTCCCTTTCAAAGCCACAAGTAGTTGAGGTTTTACTTCATTGACCTCTCATTCTGCTCCTGGGGAGACTGATGATGAGTGTCAGCCAGGCTGAGACTCTGTTTTAAAAGTAAGTTGATATTTTCTTCCACAGTGAAATTGTCATGGGTGTTCATAGCTAAGGGCACTTGTCAGGGTCGGAAACTGGCTTCATGATAGTTTATCATATGGCCAGGGTCTCAACAAAGAAAGTAAGCAACCAGGCAAACACAAATTACACCTGAGATTGCAATCGAGGAATTAGCAGTGGAATGTGGAATAATCAGGTGGAAAATAACAGCTGTTGAGGAAAAGGCTTTGGCAAGGGCAGCCAGGGAGCTACATTTAAAAGAACTAGAGGGGTCACTTCCTGATATAGAAAATAAATGGAATTGAAGTGAAAAGATCTGGGTTTGAATTCTGGTTCATGACATAACTATGAGACTGGGAAAAGACATTTAATTTCTCTGAAGTCCAGGTTTCTTGAGTTTAATGAAGTGATTTCTTTGAAACTGTTTTATGAGTCGGGTACAAGTATTCATGATTAGCCAGTAGGAGAGCATTTCCCAGGAGATACGAACAAGTTACCTGTCCTAGACACCGGGCTCTTCCTCTTTGAACTCTGTACCTGAGCGGTGAGGAGGCTTAGGGACCCAGCAAAGAGAATGCCTGCTTGTGCTTCTGGTAAACACATCTCAACAAGTGTGACGTCAAGAAAATATGTATCCGAAATACCAGTCCTCAAAGATACCTAGATTCTGGTTTGGAAATTCCTACCAATAGTTAGCAACAATGTAATAGACCGTAGAAGAATTGATGCCTTTGAGTTACGGTGTTGGAGGAGAATACTGAAAGTGCCATGGACTGCCAAAAGAAACAATAGATTTGTGTTGGAAGAAGTGCAGCCAGAGTGCTCCTTGGAGGCCAGGATGGCCAAACGTCGTCTCTCATACTTCGGACATATTGTCAGTAGGGACCAGTCACTGGAGAAGGATATCAAGTTAGCTAAAGTGGAGGGTCAGAGAAAAAGGAAGACCCCCAACGAGATGGAATGGTCAAGTGGCAGCATCAGTGGGCTCAAGCATGGCAACAGTTGTGAGGTTGGCCCTGGACTGGGCAGTGTTTCGTTCTACTGTGTGTGAGATCTTTATGAGTCAGTACCAATTCGATGGCACGTAACAACAACAACCCTAAATTAGGAGTCCTGGTGTGGCACTGTGGGGTAATGCGCTGGACTGCAAGGTCGGTGGATCAAGCTCAACAGCCACTCTTCGGAAACCCTATACAGGGGTACTGTGGGTTGGAGGAGCCGACTCAGCAACACTTTAACAACATCAACCCTAAATTAATAAAATGAATAATACAGTATTGTAAGCTTTGTGTTACTTACCACTTTATCTTATGTTGCTGTTATTGTGCTGTGGAATATGTTCCAACTCATGGCGACTCTGCCCACAGACATATCTGGGCTGTGGGTAGTCTTTGCAAATGCTTCCTTGCAGAGCGGCTGGTGGGCCTGAACCGCCCGCCTGCCCACCCTTCTCCTTTGCTCCACGGGGGTTCTTTTGTATATAAATGTAATCTTTCTGCTAAAATGACCTAAGTAATGAAAAGTTCAGTCACTTAATTTTTAGGCTTATTTTAGAAATGCTTTGTTTACACATTAGGAACTTACTTTCCAGTTATTGAATTTCCGTACATTATCATTTTAACTTTATTGTATATTTCTGATAGGTTTAGTCCATCAGTTTTGAACAATCTTACATGTGTCCTTTGATAAATTCATAGGCCCAGCCTCTTCACACCAATCTTTGAAGAACCTTCGAGAAAGAAGAAACACAGAGCTCCCCCTTGTGGACATGCACGCCGTCACCAGAGAAGAGGGGGAAGGGATGGAGACGGCAGACACTGAGTCTGGGTCCTCTGCCAGCACCCACACCCCGTCTTTAGAGCAGCTGCTTACTTCCCCTGAAGCTAAACTTGGTATGTTACTGTTTTCCAATATGCTTTAACTAGAGATGAAAAAATAACTTTTAGGAAAGAATGTGCTAGCTCTGCCCTCGGCTAGAGTAAGAACCAGATGGCTGAAAAGTCTCTGCTGCCGTTGGTGCCCCGGGCTCCAGGAATTTATCAGAAATTCTACAGTGGTGCTAAAAAGTAGGGTCAAGTTCTCTCTCCCCCTTCTGTGAGTATCAAAGTTGATCATTAGGATCGTTAGTCCACTTGGCATCTTTCGGAGGGTTCAGGGTTATCTGTACTAAGGACAGGGTGTCCACAGTGATTATTGTCAGGTGCTGTGTGTCGGTGCCGACCCAGCGACCCAGGGACAACAGAACACAACAAAGCCTACCTGTGCTTGTGAAACCCTCACAGTTGTTGTCGTTGGAGCTCATTGTTGGAGCCACGGTGCCAGCTCATCTCATTGACGCTCTTCCACTCTTTCACTGACCCTCTACTTCTCCTAGCATGATGTCCTTCTCCAGGAACTAGTCCCTCCTGACCACATGTCCAAAGCACGTGAGAGGAAGTCTCCCCGTCCTCATTTCTAAAGAACTTTCCGACTGTTCTGGACGTCTGTGGTGTCTTTAAGACTCTTCACCAACACTGTAACTCGATTGATGCCTCCGTTCTGCTTCAGTCTTCTCATTTACTGTCAGGCTTTCACAGACACCTGAGGAGACTGAACGTACCGTGGCTTTGGCAGGTGCACCTCAGCCCTCAAAGTGGCACCTTTGCTTTTGAACAGTTTGCAGAGGTCTTTTATAGCCGGTTTTCCCAATTCAATACATCATTTCGTTTTCTCACTGCTGCCTCCGTGGATGTGTCCATTAATCCAGCAGTGAGGTTGGCTTTCTTTAAGTGGAGGTGTAATTCATACCGAAGGCTGTAGTTTTTCACCATCAGCATGATTGTTACGTCATCTGCATATAGTAGGCTGTGAATGAGTCTACCTCCAGTCGTGATACCACGTTTTTCTTCTTAAAGTCCGACTTCTCAGAGAATTTGCTCAGCATGCAGGTTAATGGATGCAACCCTGAGACACACCTTCCCTGATTCTAAACCACATCATATCCCCTGATTCTGTTTGAACAGTCTCGGTCTCTGTATAAGTTCCACATGAGCACAGCTCAGTGTTCCGGAAATACAATTCTTCACAGTGTGACCATCATTTGATACGGTCCACCCAGTCTAGTGCCTTTGCATAGCCAGTGAAGCCCAGGTAGCCATCTTTCTGGCATCCTCTGCTTCCAGCTGGCATCCATTTGATGTTGGCACTGGTATCTCTCATCCCACATCCACCTCTGAGGGCAGTTTACATTTCTGGCAGTTCCTTGTCAATACACTGCTACAGTCATTTTGTAATTATCTTCAGAAAACATTATTTATGTAAGATAGGAATGATATTGTTTGGTAATTTCTGCATTCTGTTGGATCACCTTTCTTGGGAATGCATAAAAATATAGATTCCTTCCATTTGGTTGAGCAGGTAGATGTCTTCCAAATACCTGGATGTAAACTGTGAGCGCTTCCAGTGTTGTATCTGCTTGTTGAAACATCTCAACTTGGCATTCTGTTAATTCCTGGAGCCTTGTGTTCACCAGTGCCCTCAGTGCAGGTTGATCTTCTTTCTTTAACACCATCAGTTTCGTATTAGAAGCTCGTTCAACTGGTTAACCGTTGGCCATTTCTTTTTGGTACAGTGACTGTTTGATCTTTTCTTTTTCTTTCTTTCTTTAGCCCTCAAACATAATTTAGAAAATTGCAGAGAAGGAAAACCTGTCATATTTATCCATATTTTAAAGATCTGTCCGTTATTCTGTCTTCCTCCCTGATGTTCCAAGATACTCCTTTTATGGTTTCTTTTCGGTTTCTCTAAATTCCTTTCACCATTCTGCTGGCAACAAATTCTTAGTTCCCTTCATCTGAGAATGTCTTTATTTCTCCTTTCACTGAAGGATATTTTCACTCGATATCGGATTCTGGGCCGGAGTTGTTTTCTCTGTTGGATCTTTTGATGGTCTCTGCATTACTCACTCACTATTTGCCCATAGAGTCCTTCAATAGAGCAACTCAAGGCTTGAGTATTTTCTTCAGTTCTTACAGCCTGAGAAATGCTAAGCATCTTTTCACTTTGGGTTTTCTAACTCAGGGTCTTTGCACATTTCATTTTCATCCTTTGTCTGTTTGACATGCCCTTGGAAATCCTCTGTCCAGCTATTTCACGTCCATCGTATCTACCATTCGCTTTAGTTCCTGTACATTCGAGAGCAAGTTTCCGCATCGCTTGTGGCATCCAGCTTGGTCCATCCTTCCTTCCTTCCTTCCTGTCTCCCTCCCTCCCTCCCTTTCTTCATGTAGGATGTGCGTGGTGTCATCTCACAAGTTCTCTGGTCTATGGTAATTAGTGTCCAAGGCTTCAGATCTGTTCTTGAGATGGTCTGTAAGTTCTGGTCGGATATCCTCAGGGTCATGCTTGGGCTCTCATGAACTTATTTTAATTTTCTTCAACTTCAGCTTGAACCTGTATCCAAGCACTTGACAGTCTGTCCCACATCCTGGTCTGGTTCTCATGGATGGCATTCAACCTGTATCTAAGCACTTGATGGTCTGTTCCTCATCCTGGTCCTGTTCTGATGGACGGTATTGAACTTCTACATCACCTCTCACCACAGACAGAGTGGATGAGATTTCTGTGTGTTCTGCCCCCAGTACCGTTACCTGTGACTGTGGTGATAGTTCTGTACCATTGAGTTGGTTTTGACTCATAGCAGCCCTGTGTAGGGTATCCGAGAGCAGCAGGTGGGTTTGAACTGCCGACCTTGCAGTTACCATTCCAGTACTTATTCTACACCACCACACCGGAGCTCTTTAACTGTGGTGCTGCTGGTGGTTAAGTGCTGTTGAGTCAGCGATTCTGTGTAGGATTTTTAAGGAGCAGCAGGTGGGTTTGAACTGCCTACCTTACAGTTAACAGTCCAGTGCTAATCCTACAGGGCCACACCAGAACCGTTAACTGTGGTATGAGGTTAGAATTGCAAGTCAGAGTCATTTTAAGTGAAGTTGATACAGTGATGGTTGTTGTTGTTGTTGTTGTTGTTAAGCGCTGTCAAGTTGGTTCCGATTCATAGTGAGCCCTAAATAGGGTTTCTGGGGAGCTGCTGGTGTGTTTGAACTGCCGACCTTGTGTTTCACACACCAGTGTTGATCCTACAGCGCCAGGAATGTGATGTAGCAGAAGAAGCTGGAAGCATTCTGGTTCTAGAATCAGAGTAAGCTTTTTGATAATTGTCCACGTTGTTTATCTGCTCGATTCTCTGCCTCTTCTGTACAATTTGAAGAATAACACCTACCCTGCCTCACAGAATTGCAGCTCAGGGCACCTAATATTAGACAGGCTGATGTATACTCAGTTAGAGGTGCTTTGGAAAAGACTGTCTTGTTCAGTGTGATGCTCCTCATGGAGCCTAGTTACAGGTGTGCTGGACAGGTGAGTATCAAAGGCACTGTAGCTGTATTGCACTGCACAAATGGAATGCCTGTATGGAGACCAGTTTCTTCATCTGTAGCCTCGATCTTTGAAATGTAATTGTTTGTAAAAAATATACCGCAGAGCCTCCTTTATGGCATGATGAATTTACCAAAGAAGAATTGGTTCAGAAACTCAATTCCACCACGAAAAGTGCTGATCACTTAAATGGCCTGCTTCGGGAAACAGAAGCTACCAATGCAATCCTGATGGAGCAAATTAAGGTAAGTTCAGAAAGTGAACCACCCAGGAAATACTCTTGAGTTGATTTTATTTTCTTGACCATCCACCCCGGCCCCAATTTTAAATTCACCTTCTAGAAGCATCTGTAGCATCTTGCTCTTTTTGTGGTATTAGAGTCTTTTTGGTAGAGAAATGTTGATTGCTTTTGTATCTAATTTGTAAATACTGTTTGAATCTCAGCATTTGCTCAGACGCCGTAAGTCTGAGAGATGAGATGGTCACTAGTGTTTTCCACAAACACTTAAATGAAACTTCTGAGTGGGTGGTTGTTGTGGTCAGGTATTAACTACATAGCAAGCCTGTGTCCAGTCCTGGGCCTGTTCACAGCCGTTGTGTTGGACCTCATTGTTGCTGCCACTGGGGCCGTCCGTACTGTTGGGGGTCTGCCTCTTTCTTGTTGAGCCTCTGCTTTACCAAGCATGACGTCTTTTCCCAAGAACTGGTCCTTCTAGATAACGTGTCTGAAGTACAAACAATGGAGTCTCACCATTCTCGCTCCTAAGGAGCATTCAGGCTAAACTTCATCGGAGGCAGCCTGCTTTGCTCTGACAGTCCGTGGTACTTTTCAGTATTCTTGACCAGCCCCATATTTCAGATGCATCGAATCTTCTCTAGTCTTCGATATTCGCTGTCCAGCGTCCACAGTCGTACGAAGCTGTGGGAAATAGCGTGGCTTGGGTCAGGCTCACCTCATAATCACATCTTTGTTCTTTCACATTTTAAAGAGGTGTCTGTACAGTCGTTTTGCTCAATGCAATATGTCATTTGATTTCTTGACTCCTACTTCATGAGTAGATCTTCATTGTAGATCCAAGTAAAATGAGATCCTTAACAACTTAAACCTTTCTCTGGTTAGCCTGTTGTTTACTGGGCCACTTGTGTGGACTTGTGGTTGTTTACATTGAATTGTGAGCCGTACTAAAGGCTCTATTCTTTGATCTTCAGAAGCAAATGCTTCCAGTCTTTTTCCCTGTCAATACGCAAGGTTGTTAATGAACCTTCCTCTGATCTTGATGCCATGTTCTTTTTCTCGGATTATTTGCTTCTTAGATTAGTTGCTCAGTCAGCAGATTGAATGGGGGTACTGGTGTGGCAGTGTAGGATAAGCACTGACCTGCTAACTACAAGGTTGGCAGTTCAAGCCCACCTGCCACTCCTCAGAAACCCTGTATTAGAGTTGCTATGAGTCAGAACTAATTTGACAGCACTTAACAACAACAGATGAAATAAGTGTGGTGAAAGGGTACAACCCTGGCACACACCTTTCCAGAGTTTCAACCATTCAGTGTCTCCTTGTTCTGTTCCAACAGCTGTCTCTGGGTCAGTGACTTGTCCCACTGAGCTCGGTTAGGTATTCTGAAGTCCCGTTCTTCACAGTGCTATTTATAGTGTTAGGGTTCACAGTGCTATTTATAGTTGAATGTCCGCATAGTTAATAAAAAACAAGGTTTGGGTCCCTAAAATGCCCTGGTGGCACAGTGGTTACATGTTTGCCTGCTAACCAAAAGGTCGGCAGTTCAAACCCACAAGCTACTCTTCAGGACAAAGATGTTTCCGTCTGCTTCCATGAACTCTTACAGCCAGGAATATCCGGTCCATAGGTCACTGTGAGTCAGATTGTTGTTAAGTGCCGTCGAGTCAGTTCTGACTCAGAACGACCCTGTTCAGGGTTTCTAACAAGCATCTGGTTGGTTTGAACCGCTGACCTTGTGATTCCAACTGGCCTTGCAGTCTAGTGCTTTATCTTGCAGCACCACACCAAGACTGGGTCCTCAGATCCTAAAGGTAAAGCCTGGAACACTTGTCTTCATGCCATTCAGCCGGTGTTTATGGTATAAACTGCTTGACACAGGGTTGTTGTTGTTAAGTACTGTTGAGTTGGTTCCAAGTCACAACAACCCTGTGTAGGGTTTCCAAGGGCAACTGATGCATTTGAACCACCAGCCTTGCAGTTTAAATCGACCTTTCAGTAGAGTGCTTACCCTACAGCTCCACCCAGGCAAAGTAACAGAGGACTTTTTCCTATTTAAAGTAGATAGCAGAAGCAGCTAGGACCAAAGTTAACTGAGGGAGGTTGTTGTTGTTGTTGTTGTTGTTGTTATGCACCGTGGAGTCGGTTCCGACTCATAGCGACCCTGGGTTTCCGAAGCTATAAATCTTTACAGGAGCAGAAAGCCTCATCTGTCTTCCGCAGAACAGCTGGTAGTTTCAAACTGCCAACCTTGATGTTAGCAGCCTGATTCATAACCACTACACTACAGGTATTTTTAGCTTCTGGTTCTTGGATGAGTCACCCCTCACAGTACAGTCACACTATTTTTGAGCAACTTTACACATGTTCTACTCCGTCATCACCGCCGTCACTTTACACACGTCCTCCTCCGTCATCACCGCGGTCACTTTACACACGTCCTCCTCCATCATCACCGCGGTCACTTTACACATGTCCTCCTCCGTCATCACCGCGGTCACTGAGTAAGGGAAATCCTGAAGCTGCTGAGTGGGGAGCGCAGTTCACACGTCGCACCAGAGAGCCGCCCTCCTGCTCTGCCACCTCAGCGCTGTCCTTGCCCATGTCGTTACACTGAATGATTTGTTTTTAATGCTACCCTGATAGACGCTTTAGTATTCTCACAAAATAACATTTTCACACATTGTCCATAAAAACATCGTATCTAACAAATCACTAGCTGGGTTTCAGTGATGGGGAAATGCTTTGTCTCCCCACATTCTGTTCCCTCTGCTCATTTCTTAGACCTTAGTGCTATTTGTTAAAATGACTGTAGGTTTAGGTCCGAGCTGGCCCACTTTCCTGGACTAACCCCGTGGGATGAAGTGTACCAGCACATCATATGAGCACTCCGTGGAAATAACATGAAGTCTGCCACAAAGATGTTCTGGTGGGATTTTATACCAGGGAGCTTCATAAAGTTTGTGGCAAATGTCTATCCTTTTCAATGTTGTTTTTCCACAAACTGTTTGAAGCCCCACCTGTTGTTCTTCATTCTTAAATTCATTGTCCTGGACTTTGGACTTTGTTGATGTTAATGTGTTCTTCATCATATAAACATGAGTTTACTGTGCATTTGTTGGCTTACTGGTGTTCTGAGAACCAGGCAGGGAAGCGAGTTAGTGGAGGACACAGATCTTCACTCAGCCACCTGCTTTCACCCTGGCTCACATGCCTCATGGCTTGTCTTCCCCAGAGTCCTCCTCCCTGTAGAGATGGGATGGGCATCATGGTACCATCCCACAGCGCTGATTGTTCTGTGTGCGGGCTCTGCTATGCCCTCCTGTTTTCAGCCCACCTTCTGTGATAGTGTGGCTTCGAGACAAGAGCAGCTGTGATTCTGAGAGAGGCGGACTGAGTCAGCCTTCACTGCTTCCCCAGCTGGCCAGCTGCTAGCAATTTCCAGATCTCTCTCTTCCACTCTTCTTCCCTCTGTTCTGACAACTTTGTGGGGCTCTAGTCTGTCGTATTGACCAGACGTTTCTAACACCTGTTTTCAACTCGTTTTTCCCAACACCAGCTTCTCAAAAGTGAAATAAGAAGGTTGGAGAGGAATCAAGAACGAGAGAAGTCTGTCGCTAACCTGGAATACTTGAAGAACGTCTTACTGCAATTCATCTTTCTCAAACCAGGAAGTGAGCGGGAGAGGCTGCTTCCGGTTATAGACACAATGTTGCAGCTCAGCCCGGAAGAAAAGGGAAAACTGGCCGTGATTGCCCAAGGTGCGTGAAAGGAGTTTCACAGTTTTTATTTGATTGTTTACACTGCCCGTTGGCTTGTGGTTAAGACTTTGTCTCAGTCATTTCTAATCTTTTCCACACTTTGCTGTTGTTGTTGTTGTTAAGTTCCGCCAAGTGAGTTCCGACTTGTAGCGACAATGAGCAGCTGGTGGGTTTGAACTGCTGACCTTGTGGCTCACAGTCCAGTGCTGACCCTATAGCACCACACCAGGATGGGAAGCAAGCTGTTTTCTGAGGTCGTGGTTGTGTGCTCTCTAAGACACACCATCACTAGACAGAAAACAGCTTGGTTAGGCCACTGTTGCTGATGTTATAACTGAATAATGTGTTCAGCTTTCAGTTCATTGTATCTCTTATTTTTCATAAGTTTTTAACTTCTACATGAAATTTTCACAAACACACAGCAGTATCAGAAAAAAGTATAATGAATCCCCAAGTGCCCAATCAGCCAGATTCGACAATTAGCACCATGTGAATCTTCTCAGTTTTTCCCCACCAAAACGCTAAAGCTTTTCCTTTCTGCAGAATATTTTAAAGCGAATCTCAGATGTCGTGTCATTGTATTCTAAAAAAGTCAGTATGAATCTCTTAGAAATGGGAATTTATCAAAAACCATTTCTGCTGTAATAGAATTAATATTTCCTTAGTATCTAATACCTTGCCCATTTTTAACTTCTACTTTCATCTTAATAATGCCTTTTTCAGTTGTCAAATTGTAGTGTGCATAAAATTTATATATTAAATTTTATTTAGGTTAAAGAATATTTGAGAGATAAAACAGTTCCCAATTTTTTCTTATATTAAATCTCTCTTTTTTTTTCAATGTTTTATTGTGAATTATGTGATAGTTTACATAGGAGAATATTAGCTTTACATTTATCCAATTGTATATCATTTCATTGCCGTGGTTATAATCCCCTCCATTCATCATCAACCAACCAAAGGGTATACCCTGCAAGCCTGCACCGCAGTTGTCAGCACACAGCCCCTCTCCATCTCTGGCATCACTGTTTCTCTGGGTAGGGTCCCCACTTTCCGCTCTTCTCCCTTTATGGTCCCAGGGACCTCCGCTCCTAGGCTGCAAAGTCAACCACTCCCCTCCTTTTGCTACCAAACATTTACCTTTACATTTCCAACCTTCACAGTCAGTCCTGATAACAATTATTGACTATTGAACCACAAGAGTCTTATCCCCATCTCCTTTCACCAGCCCCCCCTAGACAGGTTGGATATTAGTCAGTGGAGAGTCTACCTTCCTCCACGCCCTCTGGATCTAGATTTCCTCTTGAAAGCTTGTAAGCCAGTCACTTTTTGACTTTGTAGCCTCCCCATTTTGTGTAGCCAATGTCTAAGTTGCCCATCCCTGTCTACTCTGTGTATGGAGTGGGGGTGGGAATGATCCTTGCTGTAAGGATTTGTTCCCTCTTTTGAGCTACTGCATCCATAGGTGTAGGTCAAGTTCATCAAATTGTATCAGATTACTCTTTTTTTCTTTTTTCTAATTCTAGTTGAGCTCTGATCATCCAGTCATTGAAGCCAGGTCAAGTGGGTATTATCAGCACCTGTGGGTGTGTGTTCTTGTGCATATGCCCTCTCTTCTTACCAGCTGGATGCTTCACTCTCCACCCTAGTCCTCCTCTGTGCCTATGTCACTGACTCTGGGTCCAGGAGTCCCCAGGTCTTACCACACTGCTGGCCAACCAGTACAGCTCATTTATTTTTGAAGAAATCAGTTGTGTTTGTGCTGTAAAAACCATGTTTGCATTTGCCTCCTTTTTTCGGGGGGGGGTGCCTCTCTCTCACTGTAAACCCTCCCTAACCTTAACCCTAACCCTAACCCTAACCCTAAGCTGACAATGTCGCAGGTGGTAATCAGCACTGAGCACCATCAGGAGCACCTGGGGTCTTTATTCCAACACTGCTGGTCCCCACCCCAGGTTCTCAGTCCCTTGTTTTAGGGTCAACACCCAAAATGGCTTTTTAACTACTTTCCAGGCAATGCTGTTGGCCCTGGAGACTGTCATTTGAGAACTCCTAAGCCAAGAAATTACAAGATTCAGGTTTGATTTCTTGTTTAAAAAACAATTCTTTACACTCAGTGCTTTAAAAAAACCCAAAACCTGCACCTGTGGTTTCTTTCTTTCTCTTTTCTTGTGGTCCATCTTTTTGATGATGGGCGATATACTTGACAGTGACAGTGAGCTCGGTTCTGCTGGCCGTTGGGTACATTATCTTCACCGTGTCGCCAGGTTTGTCATCAGATGCCAAAAAAACCCTGCGTTTTTAATAATGCAGTTATTCTAAATCATTTTATTTGTTGTAGACCTAGAATACATGTATTTCATTATTGTAAAAACTTGAGAACGTGTATAATTGAGACATAGATTCCAGTAGACTAACAATGTGATCTCAGAATCGACTTCATGTCTAATGGCCTCTGTTAAAAGACCTGCTTGTAGAGGGAAGTCCAAGGGTCACTGACTAAAAGATTTCAAACAAACTAGCCTAGAGATGCAATAACAGAGGTTTTTTTTTCTGAGAATTCCACAAAAGCCATCCCTAGGGGTTCTTTGATTTTAAGAGTTCGTGTCTCACAGTTCCCAAGGCCAAGAGATTGAGATCGGGTATTTATTCGTCATGTAGGCTCCTTGTGAAATTCTGAAGAATAGTCTATTCCATGCCTCTCTCAGGTAGCTCAGATATTCGTAGACTTTCAGCTCCAACACCACATGGAATTCTTCCTCTGTCTCTGTTGCTCTGCTTGTGTGTGTGTGTGTGTGTGTGTGAACTGACTGAAGGTTTACAGACAAGATCATCAGTTTTACCTTCAACGAATCATATACTTTGTTTTATCTCAATGAGTGCAATCCCCCTCGCTGCAACAACAGGTATCCCACCTCCTCCCTGTGGCTATGTTGTGGAACACGTGTGTGTGTGCTTGTTTAGTGCCATCGAGTCGGTTCCGACCCATGGTGACCCTGTATAGGGTTTCTGAGGTTCCAACCAAGCTTGCGGTTCGGTTCAGTGCATTCGGCTTCACCAGGAGTCCATTCAGTCTGCAGACTGAGCACATCGCCCAAGAAGCAAAGAATCCAAGAAGATGACCGTGGCATCAAGATCGGAGGGAGGCCCGTGAACACCGTGCGTATGCAGCCGATAGCACCTTGCTCACTGGACTAGCCGCACTCAGCCTGTGTGTCTGTTGTTCCAGGTTTGGCTGTATATCACTGTTTACCTCTATCCTATTTAGCCTGTGTCTTGAGCTGCCTTCCTCATTCTTCCAACAACCTCCCTCCCTCCCTCTTCTTGTATGTTGTCCTCCATGTCACTAAGTTAACACGTGTCTACCCGCTAGCCAGTGAATCACTTTCCATCCCACCCCAGCAGCCATCATTGAATGCTCTGTTAGTATGAAAATCTTGTCTTGAGTTTTTACAATAAGGCCTCTATAGTATCTCTATAGTATTTGCCCTTTTGTGGTTGATGTATTTTGCTCAGCATAATTTCTTGCAGGTTCGTCCCTGTTAAGAGGTGTTTTGTAGATTCATCATCATTCTTCAGTGTTGCATAGGATTCCAGTGTTTGGATGGACTGAAGTTTGTTTGTCCATTCTTCCATTGATGGGCATTTGTTGTTGTTGTTGTTGTTAAGGGCTAATTTTTTAATTGGGTTGTCTTGTCTTGTATAAATGTTTTAGTTTTGTGTAGATTTTAGAGCTTACTCCCTGATGTTGTTGTTGTTAAGTGCCATCAAGTCAATTCCGACCCACAGCGACCCTGTATAGGGTTTCCAAGGAACAGCTAGTGAACTTGGACTGCTAACCTTGCAGTTCAAACAGCTTTGCAATCTGGCGCATTAACCCACAGCGTCATGTCATTGCAAAAAAATGTTTTCCCAGTCTGTGGACTCTCTTTTTACACTTTTGGTGAAATTTTTTGATGCACGTGTTTATTTATAGGAGATCCCAGTTATTTATTTTGTCATCTGCTCTTTGTGTGATTTTAGTAATGTTTGATAGGATATTTATGCCATATTTTACAGCCCCTAAGTTTTTCCCTATTTTTCCATTGATGGATCTGTATGTTGCTAGGTTTTACACTCAGATCTTTAATCGACGTTGAGTTTGTTTTTGTTTAGGTATGAGATATGCGTCTTGTTTCATTTTTCAGCAAATCGACTTCCAGTTTTGCCAGCACCATCTGTTGAAAGATCTGTCTCTTCCCCGTTTCATGTGTTTTGGCCCTTTGTTGAAGATGAGCTGACTGTATGTGGATGAACTTATTTCTGGGTTCGGATTTC